CACACGATAGCGAAAATCGCATCAAAAGCCCATGTTCGAAGTCATTTTGCAGGTCTACTTCTGGTGACTTGGGATGGGCGATGGAACCTGGGGCTCGTCATTGCCTTCTCTGTCATCGCCGGCGATTTCGACACTTTCTTTGAAGTAAGTCAGCAAGATTTGCATGATTTCATTGCTAGAAGTGTCATATCGGCACTATTTTGCTGTTACAATTCCAAAATATTGAAAAATCTTCACCTGTGTGGTTCATTTCGCAGCTGTCGCAAATGTACATGCCCTTTTTGGCGCCGGCGTCAACAAGTTCGTTACACTATGTTGTTGCTCGATTTCCGTTTAAGTGCATGTGCGAAACGGAGCAGGAAGCACTTTTGTACTTTCAACCCTCAGTGGCCTTTATGAATAAAGTTTCAGCAAAAAAATCCTTGGTCCTCTAAAGTGGTTACAGTCGAATACTGCACGACTTTTCAGAACCAAAATATCCTTCAAAACTGGAGCGGCAACAGCAGTAACCGTGACACCATTTCTACACACTGAAGCCGGAGCTTCCACGTAAGTTCATTTCAAGTTCTGTCGGTCATAACATCGAAATTATAGTGTAGTTCGCTGCGGACGGTTGGGCGTGTCAGGCGGGATGAGTTTGGCGCGGTGCCAAACCCGTTCTCCACCAGTTGTTAAAGCGAGCAAATGATATGACTGTATCATATCGTTCGTATTACTCCACCTTTTTTTGCACGTGCGCTTCATTAACAAGGTAGAAAACGACTTTGACGGAATGACACACTTATACTACCTGACATGCTCATTTGTTTACGATCGTAGCAGGTATCGTGAGTTTTTTTTATCTTGTGATGTATTTTCGCCCCACGTTCTTTTTTTGAATTTTGGCTGAAAATCGTGCCTGCGTCCAGAGTGGAAATTCCCATGTGTCTACATGTGCGTCGTAAAAATTATCATAGGGATGATTTTTCGGAATGGACTGTCAACATTTCAGATGCTTATAGTTGTTGAAAATGTTTCGAGGAGAAAATTAGGAAACCCTTAGATAGTTGCCTGGGGAGGGGGGGTGCCGGGGGGGGGGGGGAGTTCGCGAACTGTGACGGAAAGCAACACCTTCAGCTAGTCTAGTCTGCCTGGACTGTCATGATCAAGCTTAAACTATGGAAAACTTCTATAGTCATACAGTATGGTGTGCGAAGGGTACTACGAAGCTAGCTTCACAAGAAAACTCGAGCTGAAACTTACCTACCTGCCCCTGTCACCAAATGGCGCATTTTACGATTTGAAAGAAAGGCGATTGAGGAAAAATACATCTGTAGAAAGCGTGGTTCTACCTCATCTAGCTTAAGATCTATGTAATAACTGAATGACTGTCTTTTTTCGCATTTTATACCATTTTTGAGAAAGTAGGAGCCGCCGTTCCCCTAGTGATGTCGAATCTGATCTGCCTAGTGTTTTTGACCGAAAAAAAAACCGAATTGACGAGCGCAGGGTTTTCTTCCCTTGTAGCAAGTGCGTGGCTGTTACTGAGTCATTTTGTAAATGTGTAATTGACTTACTGGATAAAAACTGCAGTGAAAGCAACACTACTAGCGCACTATGTCTGCATGTCCATATATGATGCTTTATTTTGGTCTGTTTCAGCAAAAAGTCCCATGCTCGGCAGTTCTGATTTATTGACGGCATACGATCTTGGTGCTGTGTACAGTCGGTATTGCTGTGCGAAAAAGATGCGTGAAGATCTCAACTCTTTTCTACCTCAGATCTACGGGAACTTCAATTTTTCTCAGGCTCAGGATATAAGGCGAGTTGTTCTTACGGATCATATGCCAACTATGATTTCCTCTGTACTGTCTTCATAAGCAGGGTTGCCCACGAGAAACTGATCGAAAAGTTAGAAGACCTTAAATTTAATTCCGTTGTGAGATTACATCGGCAACTCTTTTCTGAGTACTGCACGAGTGTGGAGAGGGCATTCGACGGAATTATGTCGCGCTTACCTTAGTAGTCTGATGCTCCTTAAACCGGATTTCTTGTGCTAGATAATCGATATCTCAGTGGAATAGTTTTGAGAAGCAGACATGGAGCTAGCCGCGACTCCTCCTACTCCTCCCTGGTAGCCAATTTTTGATTTGGAGTTTCGCTGTA